GCAAATTTGCTTAATAGAGTCCCAAGTGCTAAAGAGACTCCCCATAGACTTCCCTCATGATTAAAAACTCCTCCACATAAGTTCCAAGTGATGAGTCAATGCGCATACACAGTAGACAGTCATTCAGCGAAGAATGAAAAGCGAGCAAGCTGCTACCATTTTATATTTCCTAAAGATATAATTAGACAGAACTGAGAGTGAGCAGAAAGGGTGTGAGATGTATGCAAAGTTTTCTTTTTTCACCATGTTGATTTTATTGAATGATGAGATAAACATCTAAGAAAAAGTCAATGACACAGAGAGCAGAAAAAGTGTTGTAATTTCTCCTTAATATAAAGTTGCTGTAATGACTGAAGTAACTGATATACTGCTAATTTATCTCCTTTTTAAAAATGCACTTGCTGTTTTTTTCTTGTTATGATATATTGATGTGTCTCTCTGGTGCCATCTCTTTATAACTTCTGCTCAGGCGTCACCTGTTATTGTTCTGGGAGACTTCTCCCTCCAAATTAGATTTCTCTTTTACAAACTTATTTCTCATTCTGCCTTTTGATTTCCCCTATTGAATTAGTAGAAATGATGATAGAGCCTCCACAGAGCAAGAACAGTGCTTCCGTGGAGTTGAGGTCATGTTGAATTTAAACCAGACATTCACTGCAGGTTGTATGAAATAAAGTGTTACCGTGAAGGTCACATTGTTTTTGCTGTTTAAGCATCCAGTGGGAATTCTGTATTTAAAATAACAGCAATTCATGATTAAATCCTATATGTAGTAATGTTATTCTTTCCCTCATCTTTTTGTTACTTAGTCATGCTCATTTCAAAATAATGAAAGGACAATAAAATACACTAATTCTACACAATAACTGCAGTTTTCCAAATGCCTCAACCTAAACCTCCTGCAGATTGTCTGAAAAAATACAGAAAAAACTGAGTCATCAGCACTTTGGTGAATATCCTGTCTTCCTTCTCTCACCCCAACCAATCGCAGCAGATGGCCCCGCCCCTCCCTGGGCCTGTTTCTGCCGGAGGTTTCTTCCTGTTAAAAGGGAGTTTTTCCTTCCCACTGTCGCCAAAGTGCTTGCTCATAAGCAGTCATATGATTGTTTACAATATAAAGCACCTTGAGGCAACTGTTGTTGTGGTTTGGTGCTGTATAAATAAAATTGAATTGAATAAAACATGTCGAGGAAAGCACTCAGAAAGGGAACATTTGCAATAGAACAAATATACGCTCATCAACCACTTTATTAAGCAAGTTCAAACTGAGCATCGGAATGGAGAAGAAAGGTGATTTAAGTGGTGCCAAAAACAGGCTAGACTGATTATTTCAGAAACTGCTGATCTGCTGGGATTTTCCCGCACAGTCATCTCTTGGGTTTAGAGAGAATGGAAAACAGAAAACATCTGATGAGCGGCAGTTACTTAGGTGAAAATTCGCTGTTGATGCCAGAGGTCAGAGAATAATGATGAACTGATGAGTCTTGATTTAGATGGTAGGGTCAGAATTTAATTATAAATAAC